GTTCATCATATTGGCTCTGTGAGGACCTCATGGCTGACAGTGAAAATACGAGTGTGGAGAATCACAGGGTGAGACAGGAAGTCAGAGAGCAAAGGGAGGGCCAGGCTTGGCCTTTTCTAACATTTCTCTTCCACGAACCAGCTCAGGGTTGCACAAGAACTCCTTAGTCTCTTTGGCCCTCCCCCCATGACCTAAAGACCTTCTAATAGGACCCATATTTCATTGCAACATACTGAGAACTATGTCTCCAACACATGGACCCTTGGGGCAAACCAGAGTGTATGTTCTACGAGGAGCGCATCAAGAATTTGAAGAAAGATTTGACTACAGCACTGATTGCACATTTGGTAGTCACGAAATACGGAAACAACCCTAATGGCCAGCCATAGAGGATAAGGCAATTTATGGCTCATTCATGTAATGGAAGGCTCTAAGGTGATTTTGATATGGTGATGTAGAAAGGCAGTTAACACGTGAAGACACTGCCTGCCTGTCCACCACAGGTCATTAGCACTTGTACTGTTTCTTTTTTTTTTCTTTTTTTTTTTTGGTGTTACGGGGATTGAACTCAGGCCCTTGCGCTTGACAGGGAAGCACTTATTCCACTGAGCCATCTCCCCGGCCCCACTTGTATTGTTTCTAATGTGATATGGGTAATGCTATGATTTTCTTCTTAAGATCATGGATATTTTTCTTCAATGAATATGATTAGTTCTGCAATAAAATACTTTGTAAAAGCAATTAGGAAAACACCTTCCTGAGTTCCTCTAACAATGCAATTGCAGTGGAATAGCAGATGGGACTGGGGAGTCCCCACCTCTCTGCCTTGTCCTGCCAGAGCCCTTTGGGCTTTCAGCTGGGAACCTACCTGGTCACCATATACTCCCTCACTGTTGATGTCTGCATGCTCCTGTGCTGTACCCCAGCAGAGGCTCTTGTCGAAATCTACAGCCTGAGTATAGAATATACAACCAAGCGTATTCCTGATTGCTGGTATGAAGAAGAAAAAAAGCATTTAAGAAATTAATTTCATCCTTCTATCATCTGGAGGACCAGAAAAGAGCACCCCCTGCCAAGTTTAAATGGAATTTTGATTGGATTTTTTTCTGAATATTTCAGTGGTGTTTTTGAGGAAAAAAAAGAAATCAACTTTCTTGGTATCCAGCTGCAGCCTCCAGTGAGTGAGCACACGGTGTTCTGTCCATCTCCCTGTTGGCGTGCTCATGGTCTGTTGCTATGGAAACCTTAGTCAAGTCAGACCAGTGACAGAGGCCCTCTCCTGAGTCCCTGAGAACATACTGTTTTCTTCTGTTTGTCTGAGGAGCCCCGGAAACCCTCACTTTGGGGTAACCTGTTTTCTGTGGCCAGACACTGATGAATGAATGGTCAAAGAGAACCCAGAACTTTCCACTGAGATGCCCCTGTCAGAATGGGTTACAGGCCGAGTTTGGGTGAATTCCAGTAAGAAGTAGGTTTTTTTTTTTCACATAGGTATTTTTAAGAATGGGTTAACCTTTCCCATAATGGGATTAAATTAATTATAACTGAATAAGAAAATTTCCACTTGGTGGGTGATTTTGCAATTTATAAGCTGCAGGAGGCAGAATATTTTGCATAGAGCTCACTGCTCATGTGCAACAGGTTTTGCTCCAATACTTCCAGCCTTACCGAGTGATTTTATGTTTCCTTTTTTTTCCTCATTCACATTCCATAGTGCAGCTACGTGCAGCCAAAATTTTATGTTACTTTTACTGGGAACTTAGAGCAGTCAAGAGATCTTCTCAAGATGCAGAGAGTGTAGTTGGGTAGGAGGGAGGGAGGCCGCCTCCTCCACTTGCTCATCTGGAAGAGCTCACTTCTCCTTACTCCTGCTCTTGGTCTTAACCATCCAGTAGAGAAGTATGAAGACGAAATATAGGAAATAAAGCCATGCTGTTAAGTTGAGCTGTGGGGGACTCAGGTCAATAATTTCTGACATTGCCAGTTAAACAGAAGACCCAATGCTATTATGGGCTACTGGACTCTTTTAGAATATTTTGCTGAGTTTACACAGCTATAATATTCAGTAACGGAACTTAGGAAAAATGGGGTACACCGATGAATGTCCATTCTGTATCTGTGTATTCAAAGTGGTTGGGGTAGATATATAGTTGCATTGTCTTAATGACTGGAATGATTTGTTCTCATGGTGTTTGTAAATAGGATCACAAGTCCGCATCTTGTACAGCAATTAACCACTAAGAAGAATATATGCAGTGTATTATTTGTTGAAACTGTACTTCCGATTTGATTTGAAACTGTCTCATTGCTATCTGTTTATCAATAAAACTGTAGAAAACAAACAAACAAACAAACAAAAAAAACAAAGATGAAGGAAAAAAAAAAAAAAAAAAGAAAAAAAAAAAAAAAAAAAAGAAAGACAACAGATACCCCTGTGGTCTTCAAAGACAACAGATGAAAGGTTGCCTCTGCCCTGCGCCACTCTGGCTGGGAGCCCGCTGAGTATGGACTGACACTCCACTAACTTTCCTTCCCTGATTTAGAGGCAGGTATTTGTTTCAGCAACAAGAGAAGAATAACTGAGACACTTATTCAGGCCTAGGTCTACCCAAGGCCTGGAAACAAACCTTTTCTGTGGTATCAGGGTGGAGATGAAACCACTAATACCCAAACATTAGCCAAACGTAGCACGTTTGGTCCTTGTCTTCACAGTACTGTTGCTATTTTACCACACTTGATAGAAAACGTGACCATGTAATTAATCTTCCAAACCAGGACACTTTGAAAGTGAAAAGGGTATCAAACTAATTAACTTGTATGCAGAGATATATAAATGTATGACATCTTTTTTGATTGACAATTGATTTTATTGTTTGACCTTTACAACTATTATGTATAAAAACTGTTTGAAAAATAAAATACTATTTGAAGAAAAAAAAAAGAAAGACAACAGATAAGCAAAGACAGTCCCCTCCTTATCCAGAGACAGAGGCTGGGAGAGAGCTGATCCCCCTCAGGGCATACCTGGCCTTCACAGTCCTCCTCCTGCTGCCTAAGCTTCAGCTTTTCTGAAACAGCTAATGTGTGTGTGTGTGTGTGTGTGTGTGTGTGTGTGTGTGTGTGTTGTTTAGTCTTCAGCTGCTAAGAACAACCTAAATATCTGTCCATCCAAAGTTGAAGGGGCTCAGGAATTGTGTTTCTTTTTTTAAAATTTTTAAAATTCATTTTAATGAGAAATAAAGATACAATAGCAATGAAACAGTTTCAAAACAGGTTAGTATGAAGGTTACAATAATTAATACATTTCATATTGTTGTCTTCCTAGGAGTTATTCAGAGGACAAGATGGAGAAATGATATCTTGTCTAAACAATATTAGTACTAACTTCAGAAAAGTGTAAATAAAGGACTGTTTTCTTGTGAAAAAAAAAAGAGAAAGAAAAACATCAGGAATTGTGTTTCACACAAAGGAGACACACTTCTCATCAGGAAAGACAGAATGCCCTGCTGCAGTCCGCTCCTGTTCAGAGAAGAACATCATGCTGCAGGTGAAGAGTGAGAGATAGGAGCTGGGCACCACACATTCCACCTCTGGGAAGTTTTATCCAACAGTGTGCTCAGACTACCTCTAAGTGAAAGAAACTCAGACTGACTGTGGTGAGACTGACTGGGGACACTAGGACTTTTCTGAGATGGATGGGGAAGGCTGCACTATATTGGATTGGTGTGATAGTTATACAGATTTACACGTGTCAAGACTCCTCCAATTGTCTACTTGAAATCCGTGTTTCCTATGTATGCTATATTTCAGTAAGGAAAAATAAAGTATTTTACAGCCTTTCTCTGCAAAACCTTCTTTTAGATGCCGTACCTGACTGCTGTATTTTAAATGTTTCCAGAAAAATGCAGTTTGAAATTGAATGGCCAGCATGAGGTATTCAGAGGGTAGAAATATAATCTGGTTATTATTTGAAGGTGGGGCCTTAATCCTCATCTAATTAGGACTAGATGAGGTCATGGTGGAGGTGGGAAAGCCTTAGTGATACTGTAGAAAGAAGAAGAGCCCTGAGCAGGTGCCAGGGCTGTCTCATCATGCAGAACCAACCCTCCATTACCTTGGGGCTCCGTAGTGTCCCCACCAGCAACAAGAATGTCACCAGACATAGTCGGTCTTGACCTTCCCAGCTTCCAGAACTACAAGCTGAATAAACCTTTACTTCTTTTTGCTTTAAACAGTTTATTTAACTGAAATGGACTTACATTTGTTTCTGAAGTGACCTCCATTTATTTTGATATATCTTTTCCCCATGATGATTTATAGGATCTTCAAACCAATGCAAATATTTTATAAATATTTGAATATTTGGGTATATATCTGCACAATACATCAGCAAGAAAAACACTGAAGAGTAAAGACTAGACACAATTACTAGGTACAGTGAAAATCTGCTGCAAACATTTCTGAAGTAAGAAGTCATCACATACCTGTTCAACTAAGAAAACCACCCTTACAACACAGGATGATTTTATTTTTACGTTGGACCTAGAACACTTAAGCTGCCAATTAGGTACTGAATGGCAGAGCAACATCCCCAATTTATGCCATGAATTCATAGGGAATAGGTTACAAAAACTCAGGTTCTTTTCTTCTGGTCCTCACAAAATGTGTTTCTCTGGGAGGGGCAGGCTGGAGCTTCAGTTGAACCCACGTACCTTTCTCTTTGGCTTCCTTCTTTTTCTGATCATTTTGCTTGACACATTTCAGGAAGCTATCATGACTTTTTTTGAGTGCTTAATATATTCAATAAGCACATTAATCCTCTTGGCAAGTATCTTGCCCTTAACTTGCTTGTTTCCAACAATGCCCACAGCATGCTGGGTAATGTTGTAGACTCTTCCCGTTTTGCCATGGTAACGTGTGTGAGGTGTTCCTTGTTGCACAGTACCCATTCCCTTGATGTCTACAATATCCCCCTTGTTGTAGATTCACATGCATGTGGCCAAAGAAACAACCCCAAGTTTTCTAAAAGACCTGGAGAACATATACCAGTTCCCCTCCTCTTGCCCTTTGTGTTAGTCATTTTGGCAAATTACTGGAAGCTGGTGGTTCTGGCCAAAAGGCTAAACCTTTACTCTTTATCAATCACACAGTGTATGATGTTCAATTATAACAACAGAAAACAGACTAAGACAATAATTTATTTAATCCTCACAAAATAAGGGGAGAAGTTATGTTTATTTACAGATGGAGAAATAGGCCCAGAGAGGTTGCATGAATCCCAGTGGAATGGAGTTAGCAATTAGCTATCACATGGCATGCAATTTCCTTTTTCCTCTCTAAGACCAGCATGCCCCACACAGGGGCTGCTCCTTTAGCAAGGGTCCTGGAACTAAAGACAACATAGGGATTATGGTCAATGTCAGCCATTGCAAATGTATAATATAATATATACATATATAATATAGTTAATATATAATATGTAAAAGATAAACTTAAAAGTAGCTGACATTGTTGGATTTTTTTGTTTCTGTAGAAAACTTGGCTTAAACTGATGATCACAATTCCCTAAGCTTACGGGACTTAAGTCATGGTTTTGAGAGGGCTCCCATGCTTTTCTGACTAATTCCTGATTTACGCAGGATTTCTGGAGGGTAGCCACAGCGTAAGTGATTGCTCGTTATATTTTCTTTGTGTAAGACTCAAGTTCAAGGTATTTCAGGTAAGCTAGAGTGACCTTACCAGAAGACGTATTGAAAACAAGTCATTCTGGACTCCCACAGACTCATTTAGATACTAAGGTATACGACCGAATTATAGCCTGCTTGTTGGAAGCTGACATGTTTATCTGTGTTCTCATGGAATGTCTTTAAACTCTAAGGTCACAAAGCACTGTCAGGACTAGAGATGAAGCCTCAGTTTGGGACCTATGAGTAGTTCTTGGTAGGAAAAGGATGAGCTGGAGGAAAGAGTTATAGCTCTGAAGAGTTCACTCTTGCTTTTTCCTTTCCTTACAAGTCCAATTGATTCCATGATGGAGGTTATCAATCTGCTGGCAATAGCTTTTCTTTTCCCCAAAGCACAAAATTCAGTATCTGCAGACTGCATTCCACTGGAAAAGTGGCTACACTCAGAATGCATTCAGGATCCAGCTGCAGTTGAATGCAGGTAGAGTCAACAGTTGACAGCAGCCCTTCAAGGAGTACAGGCTGGAGTTTCCTCCTGGGATGACCTGGCCAGGCCCCTTGATTACAGTGCTGGAGGAAAAGTAGAGTGAAGCAGTTAGTTGAGACATGGACAGTAGGTGCAGTAGGTGGGGAGACAATAACACACAGGAATGGCACAGGACAGGGAGCAACAGCACAATTGAGATAAAAATTTCAGGCTCGTCCAGGGAGCCCATCCTATCCTACATTACCAATCTCCTCATAGCTAGCACACCTCTAATGTAGGGTAGGATGTGCTGTTTGCTCCCTGGGCTTCCTTCTTCATGTTTGGGTTAGGATGGGTGAAAAACAGAGGCTACATTGAATTAGTGTTGGCCCTCAAATTCTGGGTAGCTCCTAGGATCCCCATTTCTTCTAGAGCAAAGACAGAAGGATAGAATCAATCTCTATAAAGTATTTGTTCTTTAAGGACAGCAGCTGTGAGGGATGATATTGATTTTTGTGTACAGAAATTGCAGAGCATGGGGATGGCTGGCCTGGGTCACTGGTGGCCTTTCTTCCACCACAGCCCCTCACTATCAAGGTTATCAAGAAAACCTCAATTGCTTTGAAAGGGAGGATATGGAAGTAGGAAGGGGACATAGTAAGAAAGGAAGGCAGTACAGGTCATGCTTTAGGAAGGAGCTATGGATGCTGGCAAAATGGAAAGAGGTGTGCTAGCTATGAGGAGATTGGTAATGTAGGGTAGGATGGGCTCCCTGGACGAGCCTGAAATTTTTATCTCAATTGTGCTGTTGCTAATTTTGCTTGAGTGGATATAGCCTTCCTAAGCCAACATGATACCAAATGCAAAATAAAACAGACAAAAGTGGATAGTGTCAAGCTTTTGCAGAGGTTTCAAGGTATAAGTGTGCTAATTCATACCAAGTGCTTAATTCACAGTTGGGTGTGTACTAAATACTTGAGCAGTGCTATTGAGTATTTTAGTCTCTGGTTTTATCCAAGAGAACTCAAAGCAAACAAGTGCTATGATTTCTGTGCAAGTTCTTACATTAAAATAAAGTGAGGATTATAAAGTTATAAAAGTAATCCTTTAGATTGTATTTGGTTAATTAATAAGTGAGTAAAAGAAGTTATAATCAGGAATACAATACCTGTGCAGTAGGCTTTGACAACAAGTTACCACTCCAGTTGTATTGCTAGGTAAAGTGGAATTGAAGGCATTCTCTAAGATGTGGTGGCAGTTGATATCCACAGGGGTACTGGAGAGTAAGCCTAGAATGGGACAGAACACCTTTCACTGTTCTTTCACCATTAGTAAAGCTATGAAATTCTCCTTCTGTTCTTAGCTTCTCCCCACCTCTCACACATTTAGCTTTGCACATGTGCAAGACCATTGCCAACTCTGAGCTTTTCTACAGCAGCATAAACTACAGTATGTACTAGAGACCTTGCCTCCCCCAAGCTACTGTCTGGTAGGTACAGGGACACCAAGGACAGGATGCCACACCTGCGATGCAGGCTGTCATGAAGCAGGCCGCCGTCCCTGCGATTAGAGCTCGGATGGCACCAGATGCGATGTCGCGCTTTCTGGAAGGAGCCATGGATGCTGCAGAACATGAAAGGAGATATTTGAGATTAATGTTGAGGTTACTGATTCGAAACCCAAGCCCCTGAAACTTGTTTTGGGTCTGGAGACCTAGGGTCATTGGAAAGAAGTGCTGTGTTCCATCCAGAGGGCTTCCAAGCATGGCAAGCATGGCAAAGCAAACAGACTGAAGGCGGGGTCAACCAGAGAGCTGAGGGGCAGCCCAGCTGTCGCCATCTGCCTGTATGCAAGGCAGACAGCACAGATAACCACAGCCGTTCCTACTGTCTCGTGATTCCTTCTTGCTGGCCCCTATAACCAACTGGCATCGAGCCTGGGTGTGCAGATGCACTCATTCACTGGAGCAAATCTTTTCTGAGGTTGGCCTGGGAGTTCACAGGAAAACTATAGTGCAGAGCTTGGGTAAGAAAATACGGTTGAAGGTTTACTGATGTTGCAGGCCCATTTTCCCTCTAACATGAGTAATGTTACACAGCAAGATGGAGATTCAAAGTATGGTTATGTCACATTTGTTGGCAAAGAATATCCTTTCACTTACTGAGTCCACCGATCGCTATTCCTAGGGACCCAAAATTGGCGAAACCACAGAGGGCGTAAGTGGCGATTGTCTCAGAACGAATCTGTAAGCAAGCATAAACACTGATGTGATGTAAAATGCCATGTCCTGAAAACCTGGGCTCTCAGCCGGGCTTCACATTGTGACTACAGAATCAATACCCACACACGCTGTCTGATATCACTGTGCATTGTTTTCTGGACTCCTTTTACCTCCTGCCCTGAAATTTTGATGGAGGGTGACAAGGGGCTGGGTGGATTTATTCCTGCAGGCTACATGGAATTCTCTGATCTTTACAATGTCTTTCTCTATGACAGGACAAAGGCAACCATTATGAATATGTAAAGTGAGCAAAAGATAAAAGCAGCTGAGGTCATTTGATTGTTTATTACAGAGTACATGGAAAAGGAAGGGTTGGCCTCTAGAAATGCTTCTTTCTGCTTGTTAACAACTAACATTCTAACATTCCACATGACCTGGTAACCTGCTATAAAGTGGTAGGCACTAGTAGTAGTTGTTAGCGATACAAAATTGATACTGGAAAGTGCCGGCCAAACAGCTCAGTGGATTAAGGTGCCTGCAAGCAGGTGCAGGGGCTAGGGGTTCGATCCCCAGGCCTGTTGTGCTGGCTCCACCCCTGGGGTGTGCTGAGATGGCAATTGAGACTGGGTGTGGTTGTACGCACCTGTAATCCCAACTCTTGGGAGGCTATAAACAGGTGGATCACTATGAGTCTGATCTAGTAGCGAGACCCTAAACACCCTGTAGACCCTTCTCTAAAATTTAAAAAAAATAAGTAAATAAGATAAACAAAATTGACGCTGGAAAATATCTGCATTACAGTTGCTTGATGAAGAACTTATTCAGAATGTATAAAGAGCTCCTATAACTCACTAAGAAGACAAATACTCAAGGAAAAATGGATCAACGAGCTTGGATAATTCACAAAGGGCATGTAAATGGTTAACAAACACATGAAAAGATAGTCACTATCGAGTCATCAGGGAAATGTAAATTAAAAACAGTGAGACATTACTAAGTTTATAAAAAGACTGACAACATTAGTGATGGGAACTGATATGTTGCTGATAGAATGTAAAGCAGCATAGCCTACTTGTGAAATAATATGGCTGATCCATATAAAGTTAACACATACTACTTGTGTGACTCAATAATTTTTCTATGAGAAATAAAAACAGATGCCCATGAAGAGACTACACATGAATATTCTGGCAGCTTTACTCATAATAGTGCTACACTTAAAATAACTTCTGTAGGAAAATGATAAACAATTTGTGGATACCCATAAACTGGAATACTGCTCTGTAAGAAAAAGGAAAATAATTCCTATAGCAACATGAATGCTAATGGGTCCATTGATTGAAACAGGCAAAAGTAATCTAGAGAGACAGAAAGATCATTGACTACCTGGTCCTTGGTCTTTGGGGTGAAAGAATTGTTGACTATAAAGGGTCCTGAGGGAAAAATTTAGAATCCTCTTAGTAAGAAAAAGAATCCTGTTAGGAGCAATTTTACGCTTGGCCTTGGTGTGTGCTGACCTCATTCCCCAGCTCTGATCACCTCCTGGGAGTGGCAGGATGCTCACCAGAAGTGAGGGGATAGAAGTTCTTCCAGAAGGTAGTGGGGAGATGGAAGGTGGATTTGTAGACCTGTGCACAAGGCCCATGGGTTCTATTCTAATAGGCAAGCAATGCTGCCTGGGCAAGACCACCCTTTCTCAGGTAGAGAGACTGATTCCAGGAGGCTCTGAAGAGTCAGGGCTGTTGGTCATCAGAGGCATACCTAAGCTGGTAAAGGTGACCCCATGACAAGGCAATAAATTTTTTTTTCTTATCTCCTGAAAGATCTATTATTTGGTTCAAAGAACAAGCTAAACTCTACATTTATAAGTACTGTTGTAATTTTTTTTTTCTTGTGCTTACTGGATTTTTGAAACCTCCCCCTCAAGCCTCCATGGTGGCAGTAAGTTTGTTGATTTTAAGGCCTCTCTTCTTCTGAGAAGTCCTTTTTTTTTTTTTTTTTTTTTTTTTTTTTTTTTTTTTTTTTTTTTTTTTTTTTTAGTATTTTCATAAGAGCTGCATATAGCAGGCAGGAAGAAACTGAGCATTGATGGAGTCTGCTCTTCCTGGAAAAGCCCATCATGTCCCTTCTCTTTCTTGTGCTTCCCATTATTTCAATTGGCTTCAAAACCAGGCACATTTATTAGAGACTATGGGGGCACGGAGATGGTGTGTAGGGCTTGTGGTTCTTCTTTCCCTTTCTGGGGATCTGGTGCAGCATGCACATGTGGCCATGTATGGTTTTAACAGAAGAGGAGAAGGAGGTTGGCAGGCTAAGGCCCCCAAATATGAAAGATTATCTGATGGAAAGATGTCATGTACTAGGGAGTACTAATGATGTGCCCAGCAGCTTGCCCTGTGTGCAAGCAAAGATGCTACACATACAAGAATGGCCATTGCGGCACGACTTATAATAGCAAAAATTGGCCTATAGTGCTCCTCAGTAGGGGGCAGCACCATAGGGAGAATCGTGGTGTGCAGTGCAGTAGACTGCTATGCCACAGGCACTGATAAGGAAGGGTGTCTGGTACACACTATGGAGTGCAGAAAGCAAGGATAAATATCTGGAGCAGAGGTACCAGGTAGCAGAGAAATAGGATGGATGGCTTAACTTTTCCTCTATACCTTTTGTATTTTTTTATTTCTTTGACACAGTCTTGCGATGTAGTCCAGGCTGGTCTTGAACTCACTATGCAGCCCAGGCTAGCCTTAAACTTGTGATGATCCTCGTGCCTTAGCCTCCCTAAGTCTTGGATTACAGGTGTGTGCCACCATGTCCGACTTCATTTTGTACATTTTGACTTATATTACTGCATATATTACCTGTGTTACAGGGTATGTAAGAGTGCAAGGTATTATGTTTAAGAAAAAAACAACCCACAGTAATAAAGGATTCTTTCTCTGTATGTGGGTGCTAATGTACATTCTGATCTCTTAGCTTAGATGAACTTAAGCAACAGATATCATTGAAGAATGTCACTGGGATTTGTCTGCTGGACCTACATGGTGAGCTTCAATCACAGCAGATGAGTCCCAGGATAACGTTGGGACATATCCCACCACTTGTTAGTCGGTAGCAGAGATCCCTGTGGCTCTTCCCCGTCTTGTTGGAGATCGGGAATCTGGAGTACCACAGTGCCGTTCCTCTCATGGCTCAGCACTGAGCTCATGTCCCCACATTTCCTGCCATTGCCTGGGCTCATTCCAAAACATAAACCAGCTCCACATTCTGTCTCTGCTTTCTTAACAACCTTTCCATAAAACTGCTCAGCTTTGCCAGGGAACTGCAGCTCTTCTGGCATATTACCACAACTATTTTCTCTGCTGGCAACTGGCAGTGGGGAACAGAAAATATTTCACTTAACTTAGTCTATTGTTTTCTTTTGGCAGGGACAAACTGGCTTAGGTGGCATCCAAACAATGGGGCTACTTGGCTGAGTGTTACTGTGAGGTTACTTGAGAGAGGAGCCTGTGAAAGGCAGGAGTCCCAGGATCCCTGTGCCTAGCAGGCGTGGGGGTGAGACTTCTCCCCACCTCACAGCAGCAATTCATCCTCTCCTGAAATTGCCTGTAAGGCACAAATAGATAGAAGAAATCTGCATATCTGGTCTTTGGGAGCTGAGAGGAGGTGGAGATGTTTGGGATGAGCAGGCTCAGCGAGTGGATGGGATGCTTTTTCTCTGCTTCCCTTTTAAAGCTTAATATATGTCTGGGACACTAACTTCAAACAGGACATTCCAGTGAGTGGTGGTGGTGGTGGTGGTGGTGGTGGTGGTAGTGAATGTTCATAATTGCATTAGAGCTGTCCTATATGACAGCTGCATTGTTCAGGGGGAAAGAAGTTGGAAATTTGGCTGCACAAATGACCTCAGCTGAGTTCTTCGTCCCTTCACTCGACAGAAGGACATGAGCATCTCCACGCAGACTATGGGTCTGGAGCTCTGGCATGATCACATGTGCTTGCTATGGTGCTTGATTCGATGTGTTCGGGTCACAGACTGGAGTCTTCCCACTTCCTGCATCCTCTGGGTGGTAGTGGTAGTGTCTGTGGTGGTGAGGGTGGAGGGTAGACAATGGAGGCTCTGGGGTCCACCTGGGGCATTGGTGAGTCTACTTCTGAGTGAGTCTGGGTGGGTCACAGAGGTGGGGCTATGGAGTCAACGTCTGGGCCCTTACCCTTCCCTCTCTGGCAATGCTCTGCTTCCCAGCTGCCCTGAAGGAAGCATCCTTTCTCTGCTATGCCCTTGGGGCATAATGCTCCTGCCTTGGAGCCAGCCAATTATAGAATGAATCCCCTGAACTGTGAGCCACATTAAGCTTCCCTTCCTTAAAGTTCTGGGTGTCAGGTGTTTATTCAGCAATGGGAAAGCTGCCTAATAGTGCCTTACTGTCTCTTGAAAATGCCAGGCACTTTATTACATTTATGCAGCTTCTTAGCACTCATAACAATCCCTTCAGCTGCAAGGAAAAGACCTTCATGGTCATCAGACTACCATCTACATGAAGACAGGGCCTACTGCACTGTGGAGCCTGAATGTCCCCACTGGCTTGTGCGTCAAGGCTTGACCACAACCCTTAGTGCTCCTGGGCAGTGGTGAACCTTTTAGGGTAAGTCCTGTGCGAGGGTGTCAGTGTCCTGGGGGTGTGCTCTCACAGAGGACGCTGGGACCTGCATCTTTTTTCTTCTCTCTTTGCTTTTCTGCTTCCATCGGGTGAATGGGCCTCCTCTACTACATGCTGCTGCTGTGATGTACAGCCTGACCACAGGCCCCAAGACATGGGGCAACAGATTGTGGATTGAAACCTTTGAAACCAGGAGCCAAAATAACCCTTCCTTATTTTTAAGTTGATTATCTCAGGTATTTTGTCACAATCGTACAAAGCTGACTAACATATGGCCTCATGACATGTTTAGTGCTGTGGCCATAGTATCTACCACATTGAACATTGATTCAAATGCACATTGCTTTTAAGAAATAGTTGTTTATTTACTGATTCCACAAATATAATGAAGAAGTGTACTGAAAAACCAGAATATTTACTCACTGACATATACTGCTGCACTCCATTCACAAATTTGGGTCCAGCCTCTTTCCTCAAATGGATCATTTTGGAGAGGTGCTCATAAGCCACAAATTCATTGAAGAATGTCTTATAACCTATGAGCTTGGCAACCATAAAACTATCTTGCCAGTCCACTCCCATCATGAAGGAAAAGGGCATGAAGATATAGGAGCATATTAGCTGGAAAAAAAAAAAAGAAGAAGAAGAAAACACTTAGAGCAGCGATTTGCTTCTAGGTTTTCTGTGTCATCCTTAATAGCCAAACTGTTCCTTTCACCTCTCACTTTAGGCAGAAGAAATCATCTATGTTCAGTCCCCTTCTGTTATCTATCAGGAGTTGGTGGGGTCTCAATACGGTTCATCCTCACCAAACTCACTCCATGTCTTGGTTCCCAAGGAAAAGATGCTGAGAGGGTCAAGGTGTTTCTCAGGAGGTTGGGCTGATCTCTCTGGAATAGTTAGTCTGAGATGCTAGGTGGGTCTGAGCGGCCACCCCTCATGCCCCAGCCCTCTGTCAGTGTGCACTAGCTGGCCCACTCCACTTCTTTATATGTGTGTGTCAGCAAGGCCCAGAGGGTGCAGGCAGATGCCACTGAAGTCAGACTCCTCGCCTCCAGAACCGTGAGCCAGATCAATGTCTTTTCAATCTTTTTGGTGTCCAGTCAGGTATTCCATTCTAGCAATGACAAACAGACTAAGACAGGAGCCCAAGGCAAAGAACTGGGTCATCTGGATTTCTGAGGAAGGAATCTGGAGAGGGTGGCTGTTTGGGGGAAGAAGACTGAGAGGAGACAGAGAAAGGAGAGGGTTCTGGGTGAAGACTGGAGCTCCTACAATATGCACAGTTGGGAGTTATTTGACCAGCCAGGCAGAAACGAAACACAGGGAGCACATGAGAGTGACTTATACCTCAAAACTCAGCTGTGGGTAGTCAAACATGTTTCCAAGCCAGGACAGCGCTGAATTCACAAAGGACAATAGGGCCAGGAAGGCAATGAGATTCGCAGCGATGTTTGCCACCAGAGGGATTGACGATGAGGCTCCCTGTGTTGCAGCTTCTAGGAGATTCCTCGAATCACTTCATCGAATGACAGCAATTCCAGAGTTACCACGGAGTTGTTGGGGAGTGGACAGCACAGGTACAGCAGTGGCATAAGCAGAGCTCGTGTGGGTGAAGGGCAAACCTCAGGCCCAGGCTTTGGTAAAACTGCTCAATTGAATCCTGGGAAATGTGTGGAGCTTAGAATTGCTAAATAATGATGGTGGGTAAAGAATATCTACCTTTTTTTTTTTTTTTTTTTTTTTTTTCTGGTGGTAATGGAGATTGAAGCAGGGGCTTCACACATGCCACTCACTCACTTAACTACTGAGCTATTTTCCAGCCCTAATACCTTTGAAATTTGATGTACATGGTAAATATTACAAGGATACAAATTATGTGTTATAAGGAGCTTTCAGGAAACATTGTAAATATCCATGGTATAAGCTCATCGGTTCAGGGAAGACCTTATTGCTGTCACTTCCTTTAAGCAATGAAATGTCACATAATCTGTGAGTCTCCCTGTGTTGTCCCCTGAGTTCCTTCCTACTCTCTAGTCTCTGAAGTATCTGCTTCCTGAAAACCCACTTATAATTCCCTTTGCAATTTTCCTACATGCCTGTATCCCCACACAATACATGACGTCATGCTGCGTGATGGGTAATTGTATTGGAATCATTCCACAGGCTGGATGTCCTTTGTCTGAAAGCCTTAGGGTCAGAAAGGCTTCAGATTTTGGAATTATTTACATAATGAGATATCTCAAGGTAAGGCACAGGCCTAAACACAAAATTAATTTCAATTTCATATGTACCTTATACACATGGCCTTAACGTCACTTTGTACAACATTGCAAATAGATTCAGGCGTGAAGCATACTCTTGTAGTGTGGAATTTTCTACTTGCAGTGTCATGTCAGTGCTCAAAATGTTTTGGATTTTGGAGCATGTTGGATTTTAGATTTTTGATTAGTGGTGATCAGCTTGCATTTGTATTTTTTTGTGATTTGCTTCTTCATACATTGCTATGACTGTTTTCATATAAATAAGAGATGAACCTCAGATGTTGGTTGATGAATTGTTATTTAAGAAAATGCTTTGAACATCTTAAATTCCTTAGTATTTTCCACCCTTCTTTCAACTAGCTTTCTTTTTTTAAAATTTTTTCTGTGATATATAATAATGGCATTCATCTTGGGGGATTGGTGCACGTATATATTGGGTCTCAATCATTTTTACCTCCTCTTCCTCTCCCTGCTTTCCTGTCTCCCTCCATTCTCAGATCTTTTTTTCTTTAGTTTTTCTGTTTCTGATGTTTTTTGGAGACAGTGTCTCACTATGTATCTCAGGCTGATCTTGAACTTTGTACATAGTCCAGGCTGGCCTCATGGGGGTCTTCCTGTCTCAGCTCCTGAATGCTGGGATTATAGGTGTGTCCCATTATATCTGGTGCCATTTCTTATCATATGCAAGACTTTCAGAAGTTGGTCACCCTACAGATTTTCAACAGTCTTAAACTTTTCAGAGTCTTGAGCTTAAAGGCTCAATAAACGTTAAGCTGTATTTACAGTGGAATATCTTTATAATTAACAGCGAAGAAAATATATTAACATCTAGGTATTTAAGAAGGTTTCCTAACATTATAGACAGCTAAGCTAGGTAACTATTATAGGTGGTCAGAGAGGGCTGAGCCCTTGAAGGAGCCAGTGCAGAAGACCTACCTCATGTCATAGATTTGTTCTATGAAAACCCCTAGATAGGTCAGGGTCCTTGATAACCCACTCAAGACCCCTTATCTCTCTCTCTCAGATGGAAACTGTTTCCCTGATAAGTGTATTCTGCTCTCAACCTCTGTTGTTCCTAAAATTCATTCTTTCATTTTAGAGACCACAAACTCATATCAGATATCTAGTAGGTTGGGAGTTTCTGTCTCCTGTATCACTAGGGTGGTTTTATTGCTATTTATTTATTTATTACCAGGAATTGAACTCAAGGCCTTTCATTGTCAGGCAGGTGCTTTGCTGCTGAGCTACAACCTTGGAGCTATCACTATTGTGTTGAAAGAAAACATTTTGGCAACATCTAAATAATCCTTGGGAAATTAAATTTAATTTTCCAATATACCATACTTTCTTTTTTAATTTTATGTATATGGTACAGGGTCTCATTATGCAGTTCAGATTTGTAGCAATCCTGTTTTCAGCCTCCCTAGTTCTGGGATTGCAGGCCTGCGCTACTACGCCGGGTCTTGGTGGCCAGCTCAGTGTGCTCGGGGTTGGGGCCAGAGCAGCATGTGGTGCCAGGATCGAATCCTGGTCCCTGCACTTGCCTAAGCAGGCACTTAGTCAGCTGAGCTATCTTGCCAGCCCTACCATGCTTTCTTGTTATCAAATTTTTGCTGTACTTTGAAGTCAGATTCCACTGAGTCCCAACCCCATTCTGTGTGGTCATAATTAAGCCATGCGTGCTACTTACCCATTTTCCATCTTCATGGCACTCTTAAGGGTTATTTTAGGTTTTTCTGTCTCAGGCCAGAAGAGTTTAGCAACAGCCAGTGATGCAGGTGCTGACATGACTGAAGCTGTTAACAGGTGGGTGGGAGATACCTGCAGTTGCAGAAGACAGCAAGCAACAAGGTTAGCCTTACTTTGTGCTCAGAGGAATACTGCAGAAGTTCACCTGGGGAGAGATGGGAAGTTTTTATTAAGTAAGTTTATTGGTACATTGTAGGTGTACATAATGATCACATGCATTATGGGAATTTGCACCTGTACATGATATAGCTTGATTCTATTTTTTTCAGTTCTCCTACTGTCCCTTCAACCCTTCTTCCCCTCCTTGTTTACAAAAGCATTGTTTTCATTTTTCTTTTTTATTTGGGAAAGGTTTGAATCTATGCCAGAGAGCAATCTTCCTCAGTGAGCCAAGTCCTGACATTTCCCTGAGAATCAGAAGGGAGGAATTCGTTTTAATTGGCCACATCTTTGGGGGAAATCCCTAAACCAAAATCTGACCCTCTCAGCAGATAATTGATCCTGCACTGTAATGATTTGCAAAGATTTCTCACCTTCAGTGCTGTAGTTTGAATATTCAAATATTCTCCAAAGCCTGTATTTTACTATATCAACTGAAACTGGCAATGTCTTGGTAGATAGTGTGGAGGAAGAACTTCCCATCCCAGGAGGGAGTGGAATAGCCCCCTCTCCACCTTTCTCATGCTCTCCTGAAATCCTTTGTCCCTTTGCACAATAACCATTTGCCCAGATCCCTGGGATCTGTCACTCTTTCTTTCTGCCTTATTCTAAGCCCACGCTTTCCCCTTCCCACCCCACATACTCACACACTCTCTGGATTCTCTTCCCTGCAGTTTTAGAATTCCAGGACTCTTGCCTGCCTTTCCCACCCAGTAATGGCTAGTGTGTGTTGAAGGCAGCATTCCTACAGTAGGGGCAGAGGGAATTACCATCAGGACCCAGTAGTCTGGCTTATTGCTATGGTACCCTTTGCTGCTTTCTTCTCTCCCTACTAACTGGCCTTTCAGACCTGAGATGAATCCCACCTTATCTTGTAACAAATCTGCATTAACATAATTGCACAATGTTGTCTATATTGTGAAATCTCTGTGGGCGGCTCCCTTAGTGTGCTTCTTGCAAGCTTCGCACATGGGGACACTGTACATCAGCATCCTCCTGCCCCACATTAAGAGATTATCAGCCCTCAGCTTGGTTCTACATTGGAATATGAGGAGTTTTAAAAAATAATGCCGGCCTGAGTCTTAGCAGAATTCCAGTTTAATTACTCATTAGCGTGGCCTGGGACTTAGGGTCTTTGAACACTCCCAGGGATTCTGATATGCAATAAGGGTTGGGGATCATTACACTAGATTGGGGGCCCCCACATTCTTTTCTTTTATTTTTCCTTCTTTTTTTTTTTTTTTGAAACAGGGTCTCACTATGCAGTTCAGGCTGGCCTTGAACTCACTTTGCAGCCCAGGCTGGCCTCAAACTTGCAATGATCCTCTTGCCTCAGCCTCCCAAGTGCTGGGATTACAGGCATGTACCACGATGCCTGGCTCAAATTCTTTTCTGTGAAGGGTCAGAGAGTGAATATTTGTGGATTATGGCCCACAACTACTCAACTCTATAGTATAAAAGCTTCCAAAAATGAATGGATAGGAATGACTTGTTTCATTATTATTATTATTATTATTATTATTTTATTGAGAAACAAATAGAAATGAGACAGTTTCAAAACTGATTAATAGGACAGTTCCAATAATTAATACGTTTACATTGCTATCTTCTTAGTGACTCGTTTCAAATAAAACTATTTACAAAGACAAGGGTTAATCTGGATTTGGCCCTGGGCCATGGTTTGCTGCCCCCTGGTTTATGTCATCTTTACAAATGTCAGTAATAGTTGCTTTTCTTCCACAGATTTAACTTTTCAGCCAAAGTAAGCTCTTCTTACAATTTCATTTTGCTGTAGTTGGCTATAATTCACATTTAAGTGGCAGCAACATAAAAGCAAAGCTCTCAAAGTTCTTGGGGTCATTGCATTCAAATGTCAGTGCAGCTGTGACCAACTTTTATCATAGTGCAAAAAGGGTGCCCACCTGGCCTCCTCCATCAGCAATGGGAAAGAGGAAGGAAAGAAAGAAGGCAGGAAGGAAAGAGAATGAAACTGAATTCTGTACAAAATTCTTACTCCGAAGGAAATGTACGCGCCCAAGACACTTCCAGCAATGGTAGCGAAGCCAGCTGTCATAATGGCATGGAGCTCTGACCGGGTGACATGTGGTAAATATGGCCGGACCAGCAGTGGAGACTCTGTCTGGAACAGAGAAGGCAAATGGATTACGTTACCTTTTAAATTTACTGTATAGGGGCCGGGGAGATGGCTCAGTGGAATAAGCGTTTCCCTTGCAAGCGCAAGGGCCTGAGTTCAATCCCCGGTTCCACCAAAAAAAAAAAAAAAAAAAATTACTGAACATAGCACTGCCCAAAGTTGCATTTCTACGAGTGACTCTCAGAATCTCTGCATCACCTACGTGTGCGTTCTCTGACTTTCTGGATCAGAAAAGGGAAGGGGAGCGATCTGTATTTAAAGTGCCTTCCACAGGAGGCTGGCAGTTGCTCAGGCTCGAGCACGTGAACCCTGCAAGCTGCGGCCATGTAGATTCTGGGTGAGTATGCACACATGGTCATGGACATATCTTGCAAATTATGAGGCTCATTCTTTGGTCCCTCCCCCTGCCTGGGATGGGGCCCTGGGAAGACTTGCAGCACTTTTTAAAGGTTGCCAGGTGACTGCCCAGTGCCCTGGCCTGGTAGAGTGGAGGCCTCCAAGCTCTTGTAAAGTTCTGTCTCCCAGCTTCATCTTCACAGACTCTAACCTGTTTCCTGAGACCTCACAGAAAGAGAGGTACAAGCATGTGACAAAAACACCAGCAATGATAATGACGGGTACCCACAGGCCCTTCATAATTGAGAATCAGAGACCTCCCTCGACGGATAAAAAGGACCTGCATGGTAGAGCTGTAGAGGCTGATATCTCATTAAGGAGGACAGGCAGCCTGTGGCGTCGGCCTCTCCATCAATAATAACTGTCCTTGCAGCATACTAAATGTCAGACTGAGCACCACAGAAGCATGTGTGCAATTTTATAATGTTTTCCTCATTATTTCTAATTGTTCTATGAGGCTTGACTGTGTTGAGCTTTAGTTTACAGATGAAATAGGAACCCAGTATGTGAACACTCTTTCCCTGCAGGTAGTAGCAATCAACTTGAGATGGTGCCATAATTAGTACTCAGAGATTCTGTGACCATAATTATTATAATTTCAGCTCCTAGAGAAGGAGTGTTTCCCTTCAAGCACCCCAGTAAGGGCAGCTTCAGGCTGGAGAGCTGGGCTTACCAAGAGGGAGCAGCCTGCCTGCAGAAGTTATAACCCTGGGCTTTAACGCCAGCATTTTTCTTCATGACTTGGTTTTTGCTTCAAGCCCTGTTTTCTTGGGCACTGGCACTGGTGAATATGTGCACGTGGCTTCGGGGATGTGCAGTTTCAGTGTCCCTAAAACTATGTGTCCTGAGTGACATGTGACTTGTTACTGCTCACATGGACTTTAGGAAAAAGTGCATCTATCCACATGATGGGTCATGGACATAAAAACTGTAGCCTAAAAGTTCATTTTGAAGAAGGAGGAGGAGGAGGAGGAGGAGGAGAAGTAAGAAGAGGAGGAGAAGGAGAAGAAAAGGAGAAGGAGAAAGGAAGGAGGAGGAGAAGGAGGAGGAGGAGGAGAAGGAGGA